GTAAGTCATTGTGAAAGGCAGGGATATTCCTACGTGCCAGTATGTTAGCATCCCCTTAAAAAAGCCAAACTATGAGAAAGTAACAATCGGGTAATACCGTTTTAACGTACTCCGCTATTGAAAGCTAAGGTTACCAGAGCATAAAATGATAGGCTTAGTCACTCAAACAGTGAACAGAAGTTCTTAATTAGGTGGTCGAATTTCATAGCGACAACATTTGTATAGGTAACAGCAAAGCAGCATTGAATTTGAATACTCTACCCATTAAAATCCATCGAATGCGTGCAAATCAGTGAGTTAACTTGGTATAGAGATACGTAATTGGATTCTTTGGGATGCTTAAGCGCTTTGCTAAATTTAAAGCTAAATGAATTGCAGTAAAAATTTTTTGAAATAACAAATTACCGAGTATTTTAAAAAACATGCCGACTTTGTGCGCACTGTGCGCGCTGGCGACAATTCGGAGTGCTGGTAGGGCCTGTGGCTTCTTGTTTTTCAGTGTTTTCGAGGTCATATTCATTGCTATGCTCCCGTTCTTCTTTATTCATAGTATGGTGAGAGTTAGTATATTTTAATTCCTTGATATGCTCTCACTGAATTTGGCTCTATTCCAGCTCTACTTATTACCCAAAGTCGTTAATGGGAATCCCATAACTATCGCTACTTTCTAAGCAAGAGTGTCTGTCTTGTTTGACTGCTCCTAATAGAATTCTTTGAACTAAGTTTTGCTTTTGTAGTCGAAAATTTAGTCCACTTTATTGGTATCTGAGTGTCGGCTCGCCCAGATATAACCACTTTATATACTCATTTTCAGGCTTGATGGACACGAGTGATACTGTTATTGATCCGATCGTAAGTTCTTCACTCAAGTATGTTACTGTCATTCGTAGCACGAGCTTCGCCAACAATGTCGTGAGACCAAAAAATGCGCCAAATTTGTCAAATTATTGGAAGCTTGTTCTGAGCGGCAACCAAATACGAAAGAGAGTTGCGAAGAGGAACTAATCGACCTGGTTCAATGTGTGGACAAGTGTGTTGGTCCTAAACTCTTCGCTGTGCTAAAATGAACCTGGCTGGTTTTACGGTTGTACGGCGTTCTGAAATCAGGGATTGTCATTTGTTTAGTTGTACTTTTTTGACGCACTCTTAAAATGATACCACATATTTCTTACAACACTGTTTGTGTGATTGCTTAGTTTTGATGTGGATGGGGGAAATCTGGTAGTCGACGTGCTCATGCGACGATTCGATTCTTTGCGCCTCTCCCGAAGCCGCGTTCCCTGCCGTCACATGCTTGCCGGACAACGGCTATTCCTATATTCTTGATTCACTTCAAATAGTGGGAGGTCTTAGGTCATGGAGGTAATGTGACTAGATGAAGGCATTTGGCAGTGAGTTCAAACTCAGGTAAGGTGGGAAGGGGGTGTAGCACTGTGGGAGCCCCCATTTGGTGGGATGAGATGTCAGGCTTGGCTGGTCTCATGCATTCTGGAAGCATGGAGGGGGATTGGGTCTTCGCCCGATGTGGAGGTCGGTTGACACGTACAAGGGCAAGATGAATATCAAAAAAACAGCCAGGTGTAAGGTGGTCCCATAAACAAGGTGTTAAATGGGGTGCTGGTGTAAATACTGACACTAAAATTGAAGCTGAGGTACCAAGCTTCAGATGTGAGGGGTGATGTGCATTTACTATAAAACCGACTTCTTTGTAAAAATACCAAAATGGAGGTAAGATTCGGGCGTAATTTTAAAGGGGAAGCAATGATTTAGCTTCATTTAGCCATGAATAATTGTTCCTTTATGCGATTTTGCATAATAGAGAACTAACACAATACTACGCTATAATCGAACCTTAAGGCTTCATGCACAGTATAGGTGCCTCAAAATTAGTTATGTTTGTTATAAGGCGGGACATGCAGCTAAAGCAAAGCGATCGTAAGCGTCACTCTTTATCGAAAAATTTGTTATTTGACTTCCGATCAAAATTTTTTCACATAACACACCGTATATAAAATTTGTTTTTTTATAGAAAATAGTAGTAACATACGGCCTTGAAAAACTGCGCATTTTCGGAATTTGCGTAAATATATAAAGGGTTTATGGCAATTTGTTAAGCGGAGGTAAAAAATAAGTCGTGTTAGTCCATACGTTTATTATTTCTCTTTGATGCATCCAAACGCCCGGTTGTAGATTAGTCTAAGGTCTGAACTTTGCATAATCGCAGCACAGAACGGCCTTCCAATTTTGCACGATGACGCAAGGTGGAAAACAGGAGGTTGAATTAATCCCGTTGTAACATTCTTAGCTTTTTGAAAAGTTGTTCCCGCTGAGGAAATTTGAACACGTTATACAGGTACCACGTATATTCTGTACGTTAGAATATTTCTTTTAGCGACTTCCCGAGCCTGATTACAGTAGCAGTTTTGCCAAACGTCTACCCTCACTTCCATTGCCCGCAAAACCAGAAGCTCCTTCTTCGCTGTTTGCTGTAAGTATTATAAATATTATTTGCTGCTCCTATGTTAGTGCGTATTTTAGCAACTTATGTCGCAAAATTATAATTGTATATATATATAATCCGACATAGGCTTTTCATATTGCAATCCCTTGGCCCGTTTTACTAGCCTAATCCAGTATGGCTCAAGTTTATGAACTAAAAATCTGAATACCCATCGTAAACAAATGAATCTTTTTTTCTTTTCGGTAAAGATTGTGAACAAAAATGCCAGCCATCCCCCACTGATTGCTCAGTTTACCCTGACACGGGCGGCACCATTCAAGGACCAAAAGTTTCATCGACCTCCAAGTCAGTCCATTGGGAGCAACTATTCACCAGCAGCCGCAAAACTCCAACTCAGTCGCCTGCCACCACAGTCTCGACTGTCCGAGGTTGTTAGCGTTCCAAAAAGCAAACGTTACAAGAGTGATGTGGATTATTACCAGTAAGTAGAGTTTTAATGAAATAGGATCGCTTTTGTGTTTCATCACATTGAAATTTAATGTGCTCTGCTTTTTTAGTACTATCTAGTAAAATGACTTCGATAAGGTCTGGATCAAAGGGTACACAAGCTTGTAGAACAATGATTTTAGGTATAAAATGGAATTCAGTAAAACCATTCCGCCTGGTAAAGATT